TAATTTTTAAATTTGAATTTTTTGATTTAATAATGTTGTTTTCATGAAAACTATACATATTATGATTTTTTTAAAATTATTTTCAAATAGTTTTCAAAACCTTGCCCATTAGGATTCGGTTTAGAGAACCTTGAACTATTGAGGACTCAATTGAGTTTTAGGATTGATTATTGTGCATACATGTGTTTCAAATTGCAGGTTTCATTGCTTATTCCGATACCTTAACCATGTCCAATCCTAAACGTCTTAGGACTTCATCGAGTCGTTCAACTCGACCTCCTAATCTCGTTCCTCCTCCACCTGATAGTCTTATAGGATCCTGTTTTAATATGTTTGAACGTCGTAGAGATGACTTGTACTCTAGGTACAATTCTTTCCAATCCTATAGAATCTAGGAAGAGCGTACTCCTTCTCTTCAAGCCATGATAGATATTGACTTCGAATACCTTCCGATTCTTAAAACTTGGAAGTTTGATAAAATGTTTCACCTCAAACCTATTGTCTATCATCAGTTAGTCCGCATTTTCTACTCCAATGTGGTATGCATTCAAAACCAAACTCAATGTGGGACTATAGCAATTAGATCATATCTTTTAGGCCAATATATTAATATTGACCCTGAGACTATAGATTTTCATTTTGGGCTAGATGATGATGGGTTATATAATGAGAATTAAACTGTGGAATATCCCTATGTTCCAAAATCTAGTGTTAGTACTCTACGATCTCATCACGATCATTTTCTTCATTTGATGATCTCTTGGTGGTTTAGACCATCCGGAGGTGGGTACCCACTCTTCGTACTAGGGATTTATGGTGGATGCACTGTATCAAGAATAAGAACAAAATAAATCTACCCCACATTATATTTAGTCAACTAGTGGATATCATAAACATTGTTCCTTCAAAACATGTTGAAACATTAGTTTATGGATGTCTTCTTAGTAACCTTTTTATCAAACTTGGTCTAAACGTCTCTCTCGACAATCCCATCCTTCTCCAAAATAAAATAAATCTCACCTCATTGAAGAAAGAGATTGGAAACAAGACGAGGAAATCGGTCTTTGGGTCTTTCGACCTGGTAAGCACACTCCTGGAGCGAGTTCTTCATGAGCTGCTCCTAGCTCCTCTCGTGCTCCTCCTTCTCCTCCGGTTGTTGACGATGATTCCGAACTTCAACAACTTATGCAAGATATCGATGATCACGTACCAGATAATGAGCCTTCACCGGAACCAGCTCCACAAGAGGATTAAGTGCCTCCATATTTTCGTTCATTTTTGGAGACATTTGATCTACGGTATGCTTCCATCGAATCCCACTTGACTTCTACTCACGAAGCGGTAAATCGTCGCTTAGATACTTTGGAAGCTTGACAGATGGAGTTTCAAAGAGATATGCTTGCACGTATGGATGCTCTTACTCTTGAGATGCAAGCACGATTTCCTCCTCCTCCTCCGATCCTTCTATGGACGAGTAGACCTTGTTTTGGATCATCTTTGAACTTTTCTTGTTAAAACATTTTAAATGCTTTGGGATTATTGTTTTCTTTGGATTGTTTGAATTTGTTTGGAGGTATAATTTGGATGTTTGTAAGTTTGAACTTAATATATATATATATTTGGTTTGGTTGAATTTATTCTTATTTTTGTATCATTAGACATATATGACCAATTATGTCATTTAACATTTGATTATGAATAATGATTATGGAACTAATGGCTAATCTCTCTTTTGATTGTGATCTTAGCAGCTTAATCTTATTTACTAATAATCAATTGGCTATGTTTTTCAAAACCTTGTTTCAAACATATTAGAGTCTTTTTGATTTAACAAAAAGGGGGAGAAGTGTAAAATTGCTAAAGGGGAGAAGTGTTAGAGTAAGGGGAGTAATTTCAAACTTGATTTCAAAATTTATTTTCAAAATCTTAATATTACACAAATGTTTTGTTATATCAAAAAGGGGGAGATTGTTGAAAACAATTTGATGTTTCGATATAACAAATTAAATTAAATGAATTTTAGGATTTTACAAAAGATTTTTTTATAAGTATATTCGACTTAATTAATCGAATATCAATTTATTACTCCAAGTCTTTCAAGATCAATTTCAAACCTTACTAAATGTGTAAAATTGTGTTTTATACTTAATATATTTTTGAAACAATTTTCACAAAGTATTTTGAACCAAAATCAAGCCTAAACTCAATTTTTCAAAGTGATGCACCGATGCACCAATCCATGCATCGATGCACCATGGAATAAATTGAACATCGAATGCATTTCATGCATCGATGCACATACCATCCATCGATGCACTTAGGGTTTTATGAAAACATCGAATGCATTTGATGCATCGATGCACCAGCCATGCATCGATACACTCAGGCTATTTTGAAACATCGAGTGCATTTTATGCATCGATGCACTCTTAGTACACCGATACACTAAGGGTCCAACGGTCAAATATTTGAATTTTACACTTGATGCACTGATGCACCTTGGGTATGCATCGATTCACTGACGCTCCCAACTAATTTTATTAATTGTTTTCACACTTAAATGACTCTATTGACTCCACTAATCATCCCAAACGTTCAGAATCAATTGAAGGAGTTTTTAAACAAGCTTAGAAGTCAATGATCAACAACAAGAAACTACAAGCAACTAGAATCAAGAGAGAATCAAAGAGAAAGCATCAAACTCATTGTTTGAGTAATTCAATCCTATTTTTCATTCAGTATTCATTTTATTTTCAAGAAACTACTTGTACTCAATTGTATTCATTTTTTAGTGTTCTTTTCTTTGTTCTAGAATTGTGAAAACACATTTACCTTGTGAGGTTTTTCATTAAGTTTGCGAATTTGTAATTTTCTCTTTGAGAAAGAGTGTTCTCAAGATTTGGGATATATTCTTGAGGGAGTTGTAAGTTTATCTCTTTGGCCTCAAAAGAAAGAACAAATTAGTGAATTTGTTGGAAAATCCTTAGTGTGGATAACTAAGGTAGTGGACGTAGACTTTGTTTGAGAAAGTCAAACCACTTTAAATCGCTTTGCAATTACTTTCAATTTTCTGCAAAAGCTTCCACGAAATTTTTAATTTCCAATTCACCCCCCTCTTGGCCAATTCTGTCGATCGATTAACTCAACAAACTTAATCCAAAGTCTGTAATAGACCAGGATTGAGGGCTTGGCAGTCCAAGGGGACACCAACAAAGGCAATTCATTGACCCTTCTTACTTTAGAGCCAAAACTCAACATATAGCAAACATAGAACTGGAGTCTAGGTGGAGCCTAACCTGATTGAGTATTGTCAAATTAAGTACACAAGGAAAACATGTTGAATCTTTTATTTTTATTTATTTTCTACATGCGAATTAGAAATCATGCAGTTAGGTTATTTTTCGAAATAAAGCATGGAACTAGAAAACATGAGGGTAGGATATAATTTTTTTTACTAACCAATTTTTGTATATATTCTAGAAATGCACCATTTAATTATTCTATTTGCATTTGCATAAACATGACATATTCGAGATTGTTGATTCAAGAGTGATTATCAAAACTAAAGGCTTTCATTATGGACAAAGGGTTTCATGATCAAGTAAATTGTAGAGCATCCAAAGCAGGATACCTAGAAGAAGCTTTCAAAATAATGGAGGACTACACATGCAGAAATCCTGTTAGACTAGTACCAAAAACATTTTATGGTAAGAGCATCAATAGGAGTAGTCACAAGGAAGAGAATTTTTATGAAGCTCAAGCACATTTTTGGAAAGACGAAAACAAGAAATTGAGAACAGAGGTTGAAGCCATGCTTGATGCTTTCCAAAAAGTCAGTCAAACCTTCAAAGATGTTGGACTCAGAAATACTCCTGAAGAATGGATGATAAAAATCATTAAATTGAAGACTGATATTGGCTACTGGAAAAAGATACACGAGGATCAAGCAAAGAAATTTTCCTATGATTTTCAAATTGCTAAAGAAATATACAATGCAACAATCACCAATTTGGAGAAGTGTCAAGCTGAAAACCAAATATTAAATAAGAATATAATCAACATGGAAACTTCATATCTGATTAATCAATGTGAGATTAATGCTGAACTAAAATCCATTAGAGCTCAGAACCACACATTACTAGAAATGGTGGATGATTATGGAAATCGGGTACAATAACTTCTTTAACATAAAGGTTTTATGATCAAGAAAATGAACAATATTGTCTACAACTTCAGGAAATAGAAGGCAAGGTTCGAGGAGAAGATGATGACTTGAAGAAAGATGCTGCTCAAGCAAGTAAGGTAGCCCACAAGCTGGTGGACTTAGTTGGTTTTACAATGGAACTGAAGCAGGATGATGATCTGATTCTAGAACATAAATGGAAATTAACTCGGCTTTTTAAGGAAATAGAGAAACTAGGAGGGAAAGTTATCCCTTATATGTAATGATCATCTGGATATATTGAAAAGCCCTTTTGTGTTCAATAAAAGTTGTTTTAAGATAGTCACTCTCGAATTACACCTTTTCATACATACATTTACATATACACTTTTGCATTCACAATCATGTTCTGCATAACATGATAGTATGTATCAGTCATGAAAGCATGGGAATAATCAGTGAAAGATTTTGGAATCAGGAGTTTTGAAAATCAGGGGCAGGTCTTAAAAAGATTGAAAGCAATGAATGGAATATTAGCTCTAGTAGGAAGGATTGAGGGAATCCAAGAACAACTTGTAGAAATCTAACGAGAAATTCTTGAAGAAACAAGAAGGTTCCAAACTGATTCCAGGGAACAGATGTCTAAGATAATGGGTATGATGGTTACTTTGCTATATGGGGAAAAATGTCAGAAGACCCTATTGAGCATGAAAATATGAAAGCCTTTGGAAAAAGTCTAGATTTCAATAATATGATGACAAATGACCAAGAACCTATTATGGAATATTGAAATCCAACTCATTTTCATTAATCAAGAAATATGAAAGATAGCATGGACATTGAATTCTGTTCAAAGAAGAGAAACATGGAACAAGTCCCATTGAAAATGGATAAAAAGGGAAAAAAAAAAAAAGGATGGCACATCTCTTTCCAATTCCAATTTTGTATTCAGAGTTGTTACCCTTTCTCTTTGAAAATAGCCTTGTGACACCCATTCCTCATATTACTTATTTGCATCCAAATTGGAAAAATATCCAGAATCCATGCAATTATCATTCTGGAGATTTGGTCATTCTATAGAAAATTGCATAATACTGAAATTAAAAGTTCAAGACCTTATGGCAAAAGGGTTGCTATGTTTTGAAAATGGGAAACCTAAGATCCTCAGGAATTCAAAGCTTATTGAGAAAGAGAAATTTTCAAGTCATCATGTCTTTCAAGATGATAGTCAAAAGTCAGAAATTCGAAGCAAACATTTTCAAGAAAGTAATAGCAAAGAAACGATCATACCAATCCCTCAATCTCATGGAGCAAGTTATATGCCAAATTACACCAAGCCCAGCTTATTGCTCCATGTATGGCTAAACCTTTGGTACCACCTTACCCTAGATGGTATAATAAAAGGGATTTTTGTGAGTATCATGCTTGAATCCGAGGACACTCCATTGAAAATTGTGGCAACTTCAAACGACAAGTTCAAAATCTTCTGACTCATGGAATTATAGAAGTAAATGCCAACAACCAATCCATTTTGATTAAACATTTGGAACTCAACTACAGAAATGAAGATAGTGTCAAACCAATTGGAGGACAAGGCCAAGCCAAAAAATCTGAAGTATGTATGGCAGATTTAATTCTCAATAAATCTCTCAAGCAGAAAGAAGATGCAAAAATGAGCAAAGAAAAAGGAAAGGTAATTCGAGACTAGCCAATAGGATTAAAGAGAAGTAAGGAGACATCTATGTTAGATCTTTTGAAATCAAGAGAAATAAAGGGTAATTTAAAAGAAAAGAGAATGTTACTCCAAGTATAGCTACAAGAAACATCCAGAACCAGGATATAACTATTGTCGCTAAAGAGATTGGTTCTGAGATTCAAATTAAGCCCAATTACTAGTCAGGAAATATGATAGGATTTGACCAAGAGATAGCTCAATAAAAAGATGAGATTTGCTCATCCAAAGAAGCTACCCAAGAAATGATCAATAAATGATGGGAAAATATAGACAAAGCTCCTAGTCTGATTATACACCCAACATCCAAGGAAAATGAGACAGTGGAAGTTATTATCTATCACTATTGTACCTTTCATTTTGTAGCATCTTGTTTGAATATGTTTATGTTCCTTTCTCCGCCTTTTATAATAAAAATATATTGCTTTTAAGGTTATGAGCATTGAATCAATTTTGCAATCTTGAAGTTCTTCGAATATTAATTAGATTAAAAACTCTTTACAATAAGATTTATACATCTTTAACAAAAGTATCAAGATTGAGCACAAGAAAAAAAGACCCTGTCCTTTCCTCAGAAGAAATACATCCCAAATATAACCCTTTCCACAAAAATGAGAGAACTTTCTCCAATGTAAGGAATTAGACAAAAGGCTTGGTATTGATATTTAGAAGCATACAACGTGGGGCATCTTTTATAACCTTGCAAAGCTAACTAGATTATTTTCTATTGATAAGATTCAACGATGAAACTTTGATAAAACTGGTCTAAGTTAGTTGTTGTAAATTGAAATTTGGTAACGAGATTTTATGAATTTCACCAAAAACATAGACTATAACAGGTTCTTTTAAAAGAAAAAAGTAAAGAGTCGTAAATGTAATTAGCCAAATGATGGTTAATGTCGATAAAGCTGAATTCAGCAAGCCAAAATGGAAAAAGAAGAAGTTGTTGTAAAAATAGTGGAATAATACCTGTTGTAGTCTATTTCACACATGTGCACATAGAAATCTTGTTATTAGACCGATGTTTTCACACTGCTTTGAATAAAATAAAAGATTTCAGAGAATTGAAATAGAGGAATTCTAGAAGATCTAGTAATTATGATGCTAGATTGTGTCATTTTGTACGCATCCGGTTAAAGATACCAAGTTAAGAAAGTGAGGCATGTGATAATGTTCACAAAAGAGCGAGAGAAGAGTCACATCTTCACTAAGATGTAACCATAGAAAATAAGGAAGCCAACCTGAAACTAACCTCTCAATCTTGATACTTGTCAAAGAATTATAACTCTGAAGTAATAAAAGTTACTGATTTTTTTGATATTCTTTGAAGTCATACTTATGATTTGATTCTATTGTGAACCATTAAGGTACAATATTTTCCAAAATTCTTTCATTCCTTGATAAGAAAGGAGGAAGAACATTTTTAAACATGATAGTTTCAAATCAGAAAAGATCTTGAAGTAAGTTGATGCCTATTCTACCCCTATTGAGAAGAAGAATAAGCAAGGCCAGAATGATGAAGTTTTGTCATATTCTTGAAAGCAAATGGCTTGAGAAATCAAAAGTTTGAATTAATTGGACTTATACCATTCCCTTTGGAGAAAACAGTCAAGAAGAAGAGGATCACCTTATTTAGAAAAGGCATATATCTCAGATATTTCTTGGTCACTTTTTAAGTTGTGACAACATGAAGAGAATTTCTCAAGTTGTTGGAATAAGAGCATTCAATATAAATAAATTTGGCACTAAGAGAGCCACATAGGTACCCACGATGAGACAATATCAAAGTTGGATCACAAGGGAATAAAAATATTCAATTAAATTGACATTAAGAGTAAGCCTTACAACTTACAATGTTGGGACATCTTGAAAGCTCACATTTACATAAAAATGTTGTATGCTAAAGACCCATTCCAGTCAAAAATAATCATGGGTCATGCTGAAAGCCTATTTTAGACAAAAATGATCCAACTGGGTATTCTGAACAATCACATCAATGTTGGAGTATTTTTGAAGGCTCACGCCAATAAGAAACAAATGCTAGGGCATGCTGGACCCTTATCATTATAGAGAAAATATTTCCACTAAAGCATAAAGGTATGAAGAATGAAAATGGTAAAACAATAACAGTTGTGTTGATCATATATCACTGTTCATCCATCCTGCGATTACATCATCCCCACAGAAGCCACAGAAAAGGATGAATGTGTTGTAAATATTCCTTGATATGATACTAACAAGTTAAAGAATCCCATTTGTATTCTTACTGAAGTAGACATCATACAAAAAGTTTTGAACATCATACAAAGAATTCCTTGGTGGAGAGATCTAGGCAAAAACCACAGGAAATGATGAATGCGTTGTTAAATGTTTTACTAACCAGTGATTATGGTACTGAACCAATATTGAAATCATGTGGTTGACCTAATGTCCGCTCTTTGTGAGTACTAAATGTGGGTGCGGATATGTGTGCAAGTATACACAATCTAACAAGTAATAAATTGATAAGTAGAGTATCATCTCCACAGGGAATTGGGGAAATCAAATAGGTTTGTCAAGACACTTTACTTTGTCACCTAAGTAAACTTAGTGATGGTATGTACAAATGATAATGTTGTGGCAAAATGAAATGATTGATGTGAAAATGGGATAATGGCAGTATGGTAGAAAATGGATATATCGTGGCAAATTGAATTGTGAAACATGCAAGCAGATGAAAATGTCAAGGCAAAATAAAATGTAAATACTGGATTTAATTTATAAGACTTTAGCTTTCTCACACGACAAGCAGCAATGGGAATGAGTGATGGGAGTCACTAGGAAAATCTAAGTTTATTTCTCCAAATGGTATTTTCTCTATGATTAACCTGCCCGACAGAGTCTACTGAAGTGCCTTAAGCTATCTCTAGTAAGGGACTCGACAGATTAAAAATGCCTTGGCAAATCTGATTGGCGTAAACTCCAGCAGTGATCCTATTAGTTCAGATAATAGGATATGTCTCAGAAATACCTTTTTGCGGCAACATTAACATCTAACCTATCGATTATGCTCTACTCCTTTTAGTCGAATGAAATCATATCCTTATCTCTAAGGTGGATTAGGCCTAGTTACTACCTAGTACCCGTTGTTTATGTAATTCCTCTCTAGCTTCTCTCGAAGACTAAAGATAAACTACCTAAGCATTCTCTTGAACCTTAAGAATTTTCTAATGAAAGGCTACTCTCGTAGCTCCTACAACCTCAAAGTATTAAGTATCATAAACAAAATAGATTAAAGCATAATAAAACAACCATTCATTGAAAATAAAACTTAGACATCCAATCGAACTCCCACCAAATAGGATTAGTTCATGGTGGGGATCGAAATAAACAAGTTCAAGACAAGTTTCATTTGTTCCTTACAACCCAATAACAAAATATGAAAGCAAAGAACAAAGGGGATGAGAGAAAGCCTTCGACGTGCACTGCCCAATGCTCCTCTCGGCCACCAAGAACTGCTCCCAGCGGATTGGCTCCTCTCGGATGCTCAGAACGCCACTCCCTCAGGCTTTTCAAGGAGAAATGCCACGGCAAGCAGGATTGACGGAGAAAGATGAGACTTTCTCTCTCTAACTTTTTAAACTCAAATCTATGTGGAACTAAAGTCTCTAACAATGTGGCTTCATCCTCTATTTATAGGGGAAAATTAACCCTTGAACTAAGAATTGACTTTCCCAAACCATGGTTAACTTTGCTTGGGAGTCGGGCAATACAGGTGATGATACAGCCTGGGTAGCTGGCATGAGTGACTGGCTTAATCCCGTTGCAGACACCCAAGGACAGACAGGATCTGCAGGGTCAAGCGGCGTCATCAGCAGAACCGGTGATTGCAGCGCCGATCCCTCCAGGCGTATCTTCGAGGTGGATATCTCGGGTAGAGCTCTCGGACAGTTGGATACAGCTAGCTTCAAAAATATATTCTCGTACTTTAAGCACTTTCGAAATGCCAGTTGAACTTGGAAAATTCATTTTTCTCAGTAATCTCCTTATGTCACGGCATTTTTTTCCTCTTTTCCTTTCTCTCAATACCTGCACATCATCATACAAGTACATTTCCCATAAAGCAACACCACTGTAAAAATAAAATGCCTCAGAAAACCGAAATCCACCACATGAAACTTAATGTTTCTAAATGTTCTACATGGTTCTAAATGAGCCTTTAGACATTCAATAACTTAAGTTAAAAGGTCCCAAAATGTGGCCTTTTACGGAGTTATCACCTAACATGAAGTTTGTCTTCAATTCCAAGGTTAGAGGTAAGAAATGATGAAGAAATCTTTCCATAAAAGAACATTGGAACTTTTATAACAAGAAACTAGTGAAGCCAACTAAGATTAAATGATGAGTTATGATTTGGAAAACCTTGTTCAAAATCTGATTAGATGTGGAGACATGAAAGGAATTAAGATAAAATCATTCTTGTTAAAAGATTAGATTAGATGTGGAGACATGAAAGGAATTAGGATAAATCCTTCTTGTAATCTGTTTCAAGAGTCAAATCATAACAGATATGGCTGATATTCTGATTCATCTCTGTTGATTTAGCATATATCTACATTCTGCAAGGATGATAGATTCTCTTTTCAACGATGATAGATTCTCTTTTCAAAGATGATAGATTCTCTTTTCAAAGACGAAAGCTTTATTGGATTTCTACTCAAGTTCAGATAGAGACAATTGGTGTTATGAAAGAAAAGTAGGGCAACCAGGTCATAATCTTGAGTATGGCAAAAGTCCCATAGATGAAACAGTTCTTTTGAAGGAAAAAGAAGACATGCAGATATAAGTTGACCAGATGGTTATTCATAAATGGAAAAGGATGATCAAATGGAAGAAGATCAAAACTTTGGAGTCAAATGAAGATTTCATGCATTCATAAAAACATCATTTGTATAAAGATCATGCATTTCATTGATACATTTGATTTCATTTGCATAAATGCATTTTTCACAAAAAGATGCAGAGACAAAATACCTTGTGAGTATAAGGTAAAATCTCGAATATATGAAACATGTTTGGAGAGAAAAATATCTGAAGAAGAGATAAACGCAATCCATACAGAAGAAGTATTGGGGCATGCCCAACTGACAAGTTGTTCGAAGAATGAGAAAATGAATTTCAAAGTTTCTCATTCAATTTCAATATCTCAAGCAAGAATAAGAGCAAAATAAAATTTGAACTCCACGAAAGAGTAGTGGAACGGATTTTTCAGCAAAGTATGAAATCTTCACATAAGAGTAGTGAAGTAAAAGCAAATATGAACTCCACGAAAGAGTAGTGGAACAGAGTTTTCAGCAAAGTATGAGAACTTCACGAAAGAGTAGTGAAGTAATCCAAGTTTGAGTTTGAAATTCCACGGAAAAGTAGTGGAAGCAAATTCAACTTTGAATTTGATATTCACGGAAGAGTAGTGAAATTAGATTCTTGTCAAGTCAATTATTTTTAAACTTCACGAAAGAGTAGTGGAGTAATCCAAGTTTGAGTCTGAATTTCACAGAAGAGTAGTGAAACAGATTCTATCCAAGTTATCCAGATGAAACCTTCATGAAGAGTAATGAAATAATGTAAATTTAGCCTTCACGGAAGAGTAGTGAAGCAAATCATTTGCAAGTCATCCTCAGCCTTCACAGAAGAGTAGTGAAGCAAGAGCAAGATCATATCAAAATTCGATCTCTACGAAAGAGTAGTGGAACGAATTCCCAGTAAAGCAAGAGTTCACTCAACGAAAAATTGTCTTTTTATCTTTGCTTTATTCTTGTTTACACAAAAATAAAGTAAAGAGGGGCACTTGTAAATGGTCATTTTTGTCCGAGTGATGATTATTAATAATATTATATTATAAATATTATTATTTATGAAGCTCGAAGGCCCATTTATAAGTTTGGAGGCCCAATTGATAACTCGGGAGCCCGATTACAAAGCAAGGCACACAGGTCCAATTCATATGCAAGACCAAACTCATCCAGGCCCAGATCTAGTAGGCTCGTGTAAGATACCCACCAGATGCTGCTAGGGTTTCCACACAATTCCAACGCCGCCAGCAACTCCAGTTGTCTGATCCAGAAGCCGATCCAAGGGTCCAGAAGCTATCCAGCAGAAACCCTAGGGTATTATTGTAACCCTAGGGTCTATTCCGACCACCGTCTCCACAGCTCCAACCAGGCGCTACCACATCGTTGTTGTCTCTCCAGAATCTGGTAGAACTCTCCAGAAGAAACATCTTGACTGCATAACACATCAAAGCTAGGGTGAGTCACCACCGTAGGTCCTGTAACTTGCCGAAAATACCATCATTGCAGTCGGTCATCGAGGCCTATATAAAGTCGATCCTGCAAGAGAAACAACAACAACAACAAGCATCCCTACACCAAGAGAGATACACAAACACAGAGAGACAGAGAGCAAGATGAATAAAGATACGAAGCAACAACAGAGCAAACAACGATCCATGACATCAATAATAAAGAGAAAATAGTGAGAAGCTTACCCAACTAACAAAGAATCGCCGTGAAATCAAAGGTAAAGCCTTCAGGTTTTTTAGATCTTGAATGATCCGAGGGTTTTTAGCAAAAAAAGGGGCTTGGATTCGAAATGAGGGTGTTTGGATCTATATTTTAGGGTAGGCTGGTATTTTCGGTGGCGGAATACGATGGCACAAGGTTGTCGGCCGGTGACCGAAGAACCTCCGGTGAGGTTTCTAAAGAGATGCCAGAGCATCTCTCGATTTAGAGAGAGGGAAAGAGAGAAAATGAGAGAGTTTACTCTCTTTGGGCCGGTCATAGGGCTTAAATACCCTCCCTCGTGCGATGTCATTTTGGGGGAGGGTATATTTGTAATTTCTACATGGGTAAACTATACGAGTTATCCCTCCAGCTTTGTAGACATTCAATTTTGGTCACCAAAATTAGGTTTCACATATTTTAATTTTTTTTTATATTTTTAATACTCATATTTTAGTCACTACTATCTACATATATATAAAGGTAAAATTACACATTTAGTCTTGAAATAATAATAAATGTACATTTTAATCTTATATTAATAATTAGGGTAAATTAAATAATTAATATACAATTCTAATAGTATTTTGAATTAGGGTAATAAATTTTAAATTTTTTATTTTAATCATTATTTATTAATTATAGTATAAATTATTATAGTACTTTGTATATTATGTTAATTCTAAATTTAATCTATATAGTTATAATATCAGCTGTTATTATTAATGTTATATAGAGTATTTGTAAAATTAGATTAAATATAAATTTGTAATTTACTGCAAAGACATTTAATTAACAAATATCAGTACCAATTCTGGGCGTTGTGGGAATGATAATTCTTTCTCATACGTAACTGACTCTCGAACTCATTTTTCTGGTAAAGCAGACCCGAGTTGTATTATTTTAATAATATTATTAGGATTTTTTATTAAAATAATATGACATTTTGGTGACCACACCATATAAAGATAGGTGGCGACTCTACAATTTGGTGTTTCATCTGATTAATGGAAGATAATCACTTAATTTTTTGAGACTAGTTACACCGTTTGGGGTGTATTATTTGCACTCACCGTCGCCAGGGCAGAAAAATGTCTCAACAACCAATTACCCTTAGTTCTCTGGTAAATCTAGGTGTTCAAAACTGCCAATGGTTAACAAATCCATCTTTAACCTTCCCATTCTTTGGCGAATTAACCATGTAGGGTAGTAGGAGCATGATTTTTAGGAGTATAGTTGGTCAAACATCACCAGCTTGAAACTCAAGGGAATATCATACCTTCCTTGTATAATTGAGGAGCTAATGAAACTTAAAGTTCTACAGATTGAAGGTTGTAGTGAACAAACATGTTTGTGGCGGAACGAATCCGAATTGCAAAACATGTATCAAATAAAGAGTTTGGCAGTAAATGCATAGTTTTAAAACTATGCAATTTGTGAAATGTGAAAAGAAGAAGAAAAATAAGAAGAAGAAAGAATAGAGTTAATGATATGCATAGTTTTAAAATTATACAATTTGTGAAATGTAAAGAAGAAGAAGAAGAAGAAGAAGAAGAGAAGAAGAAAGAAGAAGAAGAAGAAAGAAGAAAAAAGAATATGGTTAACGATAGTTAAGTGCCACATAAGAAAAACTAATGGGAAGTAATGGCAGGGGCCTTATTGAAAACGAACTGGAAGTTCGATGAATATTACAAGTTTCAAAAGTTTGGTGACCAAAATGCAAGCGACCTAATAGTTCGGAGACTCTTTATATGCTTTACCCTAAATTTAATCATATTTTTCTTCTTCTTTTTCAAATCTCATTTTTCAATTTATCAAATATTCTTTAATTTTTAGTCTTCTCCTATCTCAATCTAACGATAAAATAATATATAATTATTTTAATTTATTTATTATTCAAAATCAAACTCTGTATTATATTCACATTAAATTTTTTATATTTATTCTCTCTTAATAAAATGACATATACGGTTCATTAATGTAACATTAAATTAATTGTTCAAAATAATGAATATACTTCCATTTTATAAGGGTTTTTTTGAGTTTTCGTTCACGACCCCGTATATATTCGTGACAACTATATATATACTCTAAGAAAATGTGTAAAATAAGTTAGTTTTATACATTTATATGACTATATTATTTTATGTTTTAACAAATTAGTTATTGAATTTAACATATATTTGTATTCATTATATATGATGAGTGTTTTAAATAGTTATTATTTTTTCATTAATTACTCTTTGTTCATTGGTTTTTGTTATTGATTTGGGTTTTTCTATTAATTTTCTGTGCAGGGTGTTGGATTCCAGAAACAATGCTTAAATGGTGCAATTCTGCAGTTTTTTTTTTTTCTAGAGTTAAGGCTAGACTAGTGGACATGACTTGGGGCATGACTGCGTCTAACGTGGCATCCAGTCAGTAGTTTCTAGAAGGTCCAATCAACGTTTCTAGAAAGACAGATGACTCAACCGAAATTTAATTTCAAGTTAGAATTATCTTTTATTTTTAGGATTTTATTTGAATATTATTAGAATTATCTTTTGTAATTTCATAGGATTTATCTTCATCATTTTTAATGATTTAGGAGACTATAAATACCCTCTTTCAAACATATCTTGAATTTTATGAATTTCTTTGTTCTTGTTTTCTTCATTTATAAAAGTTTTCACTTTTCTTTTTCGCGTTTTTATTTCAATTTTTTTATTTATTTTTCTTTAAAAATGTTAAGTTTGATTTCTATCATACTTAGCTAATTTTCTATATGCCAAAGGTTGAAGCGATGACTTAATTTCGATCGTGAGAATTGAAAATCACTTAATATCCTTCAGGTCACATCTCAATTTTTTGCAAAATTGGATTGGTAATCGACATTTCCTTTGAAAATCAAAACAATTTCATTTCAAAAAGTACATGTTTGCTTGATTTTGTTTCGATTTAAAGTTAGGAGAAGGATCAGCTTGTAACACATTGACTTCCTGTGAACACACGTAGCAGTGGTCTGCTACGGAAAATTGAGATCAGATTCGATTCTCATTGAGGTAACATAATCTAAGTCGGGTTTTTTCGAATCATTAAATTGAGTTCGTGCTAGCACTATAGTTGTAGTTAGTCTACAAAATAACTGAAATTCAAAGATTGATTTTGGATTGTCGATTTATCATAGAGAAAAACAAGTTATAGGGGTTGGGCCCTGTAGACGGTAACCGACAAAATATGAAGCAAAAACATTATTCAATTATCGATGGAAATTGAAGCAAAGCAAAGCCTGAGGCTGCTTTTTATCAAATAGATTTTCTTCTACTTTTATTTCCAAGTTATTTATTACTTTCTACTTTTGATTAAACCCCCTTTTATTCTATTTGAAATTCACGCCTAAACTAGAGTCAAAACTAGTATACATCAGCAACTTCCTTATTCCTTGTGGATCGACCCTTATTCTCATTATACTTCTTTATTTTATTTCTTTGAGTTTAAGAAATTCATTTGACATTAAAATGATGTTTGTCAGTATATATAAGATTTTAAATAAGTTTCATAATTTTTATGTATTAATCAAAATTTTTTTTTCAATATATATTATTAGAAATAGAATGCTACAATACGAAACGTTAGTATTCACTAGAAATAATAAAATAACTAAAAAAATGATAATCATATTGTGGTATTAGACATTAGCTTAAAGCAAATTCGTCCCTATGTGTGTATTCACTATAATAGACAAATAACCCCTAAGGTTAGTATGAGTCTCCAAATTTCGTACACCCGAAGATGAAGTGAACTTTAATAGTACCACTCTTCTCACTCAAAAGAGGAAGAGTGTTTTAAGGCAATATTTTTCTTTAGATATCTTCAAATGAGTAAAAGTGTCCACTATTTATAAGCTAAATTGTGAGGGTAAAATCATCATTTTCAAAGCACAATTTAAAACTATTTATAATATAATTAAACTGTGAGAATATCCTTCGTAAAAATGAGAGCATTGAAATTATAACATTAGAAGAGTAATAGCGAGATTAGTTGCTTAAGCACTAGTGAACGAATCTGAAACTAGAACATAGTGATGATGAGCAATTCTTTTCTTAGATAAGTAAACAAATCTTAAACTTTTTAAGATTAGGGTGAACTCATACACAACTAACTCTTTCATCCACTAAAGTGCTCGATGTGTCTACAAAGCATATATACGAATGTATATATATAACACTCGTTTCTCAGGATTTTGTTAAGTGTACTAGAAAAATGACCCAATATTTTTCATAAAATGTGGCTAATCATTCTCACCTACGTAGTTATTTCATCAAGTTTATCTCAACATAAATTACCCATATATGGGCTATAAATAATTAAGACTTTTTACAATAGCTCAACCTCACAATAAATAAGGCGAATTCACTTCTAAATTTTTAGAAAATAGACTACTGCAAAACGAGTGGCTAGAACTAATTGGAAAATAATAAAATAGATAAACAAGAAATCAATCAAATGTGTCATAGTATTAACCACTACCTTAGAAGTGAATTCACCCCGATATGTGTAATCGCTACAATGGACGAACAACCTCTTAGGTTAGCACAACTTTCCAAAATTTCAACACCTGAAAGATAGAGTGAAATTTAATGGTACTACTCTTCTCTCAAAAATCTCAGAATTTGAACTTGAAAAACATGAAAATATTAAGAATTGGAGTGCTCCAAAGAAAATATTTGTTTGGGATAAGTTCAAATGAGAATACTTGCCCACTATTTATAAGCTAAATAGTAAGGGGAAAAATCATTCCATTTAACAACATTAAATTGCTATTTAAATCAAAATTAAACAGTATTAAAATGCTTTAATTCTTAGCATTAACATATTATTTATTATTGAAATTTTTTATATTAAACAAATATTTGTATATTTTTTAAGTTAATTCAAAATTAATGTGCATATATATACGTTTCAGTCATTGGAATATTTGAAGGCTTAAACTTAGGGTAGCGGAGAATTGTTGCCTTAGTTTAGGTTTTAAACCCATTTGACTTTATTCATTCTCATTGCTTGTTATCGTTGACTTCTGTGTATCCTTTTCTTCAGGTTTCCTCTTTTTAATTTTAGTCGGGTCTTACGTTTCTATCTATATGCAGACCTTTTTACACAGGGATTTATTTGCAGGGATTACTTCCCATTACAGACAAGCATATGTAACTGCATATGAAGACTGTTTCAACTATGTATTTATTTATTATTTTACATGCATTGCATTTATCTTATTTTAATTTTCTGACTGTCGGAGGTCTTCCACGGAGCTGCTCTCAACCTGGCGTTGGGGGCAGCCTACTACCCTACCTCCCCCTTACCCCATTGTATATGGAAATAGGTTTTGTTATTGTTGTTGTTGATATATAATAACAATACTATAATTTAAAATTAATTAAATTCCGCTAAT